CGAAAAAGGCGCGAATTACAAATTATGGAAGATGAATGGATGAAAAACAGCTGCCACAGGAAGATTAGTCCTCCAATTAGAATCAGGGAGGATTTACACACCTACTGGATCCACCAATAGACTTTAGGGATTAGCCCTATTTAAGGACACAGGGAGGGGGGATTTGTATAGGATATGTTCATGTATTGTACATTGATACATTGTTATTATTGTTTTTAATTGTGGTCCCTGAGGAAGTTCTTATAGAACGAAACGCGTAGGACAACCTTTTGTTATTTATATCCTATGCTGAAATGGTGACTACACTTTTTATCTAAATAAATTTTTTATTATTGAACCCTGACCTGTGGATGTCTTTTGGTGGAACAAGGATCCAGAGGTGATAAGGAATACCAGCTAGCCCCCCATTTCATTGGGGAAGGCACCTTAAGAGCGCTTTTACTGCCTACATCCTGTGAGTGCACAAGATTACTGCGCATGAAATATTGTGTTTTATAACAATATCACACTATGTTTTGTTTTATGCTTTCTCTGTAGATTTACACAGCCATATCCCGAATCTTCTTTGTTTTGGTTTATACTATATTGCAACACTTGGCTGACAAAATAGCAAAAAGAAGAATCATAAAGAATAGCTATTTAAAGTGTGACCCTTTGCTTTGATGATTCATTTAAATAAGGATGCTGTGCTGTTGCTATGTGATTTGCTCCCACTTTCCAGGCACCCAGATCTTTAAAAGTCCTCTACCAGTGAAATCTGAAAGTGTTGTTTCTGATACCCGAGCGTTCTGTAATTTATGAAAAAACAAATCCTTTTAGTTTATACTGGATGTGGCGCCTTTATCCTGCCTCTCTCATCCTGTATGAGAGCGATCTTGCAAAGTGTACCGGATCAGGTCTGTCTATCTCCTTCCAATAATAGAATCACCATGGAAGTGTCATAGCAACAGCATCCCTGCACAGACCCATTCTACCATTCATAGGGAGATTAGGATGCTATGTATCATTTTTTGTTCATTTGTGAATTGAGATTCAGAACATTTATAACCGGTTCCAGATAAGGCTGTAACATGTATCAATAATCTGTGCTCCATCTGCCTACATAACCACCACCGCGCTCACATTGATTATAGCTGTCAATGGTTACCGTGATTTTTCTGTGATAAAGATAAAAATAAAATTATTTATTTTGAACAGCCAACTAAAACTGCCTTTTTGACACTCCAGCCTTCACAGCTTCCAGCCACCGCTGCTGTAGAGGGAGAACTTTCTTACCAAAGTGTTTAGAGTTAGTCATGTGAGCCCCTTAAAGGGACACTGTTAAACTGTTTTTAATGTTCTAAATGCTAAACAAGAGTCCCCAGCAGCCAGACCCGCATGGAAGCATGAACCTGAACAGCAATGGATGGCTGTGATTGGCTGTGAGTGTCAGCTGACTGTTTTCAGCCTATCACAGCACTCAATGCTAGAATGAGTTGGTATCACTAGAAGGAAGTTTATATACTCTGTCTAAGCCACACCTCCAGTGGGGGCAGAGCTCTGTAAAGCCAGGGACCCTCACTCAGTGTTAAATTGCTCGAAAGTGATTTAACACTGAATGGGCAGACAGCACCTACCTACAGTGTACCTCTAAAGGGACCTTCCAGACTTCAGTTGCCCCCATTTCTAATGTATCATATGTATTGTATTGTATATATTGTATTATCTTTTGTGTATTGTATATATTGTATATATTGTATTATCTTGTGTGTATTGTATATATTGTATTATCTTGTGTGTATTGTATGTATTGTATATATTGTAGTATCTTGTGTGTATTGTATGTATTGTATATATTGTATGTATTGTATTATCTTGTGTGTATTGTATGTATTGTAGTATCTTGTGTGTATTGTATATATTGTATGTATTGTATTATCTTGTGTGTATTGTATTGTATTGTATGTATTGTATTATCTTGTATCCATTTTATATATTGTATGTACGTATTGTATTATCAATATGGATTCTAGATTTTTCATTTTTCTCATTGCAAATTACATTAAAGGACAGCGTGCGCTAGACTCTTGGATATATTTATATTATTGTATTTGGTAAATGCATTGTTTGTACCAATCCAATAGGGTGAGGCCCTTTAAACCTTATACTAGAAGGAGGGAGTGATACCCCCTATATAAAAGATTGGGATTTATTCGCTAAATCAGGAATTGAATTGCAAATTTGAGGTTAAAATAGCGAGTCAGACAATTCTCCCAATTCAGATAGTCTGGCCTAACAGCTTTGATTCTGTTCCCATGTCTTCCCAACCCAACAGTTAGTGTATTATCCCAACACCATAACGTCCACTTATCAAAAGGAATGGTTTACATTACCAAACACTGAGACAGAGACCCGGGAGTAAAACACTAAACATTTCATCTATATGTTTTATGTCTTTTTTTCAATCAGACCTGCCCCTTATGGGCTTTACTTCTGACACAGTTGCATCACTGACAATGCCCCATCGTGGGCTGCCTACTCGTTCCAATTATGCCGTCGTAAATATTGAGTGGTATGTGTCAGCCTCTAATGATTGATTGTTGAGTTACAGTAGTTGTCTCACAGTGTGCATCACTCAATGCTCCCCCTGCGGAACATTTCCTGTATGAGAGGCTGTTAGTGGGAAGTTAGGAAGTGATCATTTCCACTTCCTGTCCAGCCTCACACACAGACACTAGAGGCTGGGACACATTACAAGTCCAGAAAACAGGTGCCCTCTCTAGAGGACATGCAGCTGTAAGCAGGTGCATGCTCTGCCTAATGGTAAATCTGTTGATTGGCATCTGAGACAAATTTTCCAGAGACTTAGATTACACTAGTGGAAGGTTTGCTGCCCATATGTTGGGCATGTTGACGATGAGGGACAGTGATTATAGACGACTATGATAAAAACCACACTGCTTCTAAATCATGATATTTGGATATTGTCTGTGACTGTTCCATAGTAATATAGGATAAAAAAAGATTAGAGTCCACCATGTTCAGCCTTTCACCCATCACTTCTTCTGCTGTTCATCCAAAAAAATGCAAAACCCCAACAGTTTGAAGTAATTTCCAATGTTGATAAAAATATAGAAAATATAAAAATTTCCTTCTTGACTCCATGATGGCTGTAACCCCACATATTAAATGATCACTATAGGGTCAGGAACACAAACATGTATTCCCGACCCTATAGTGTTAAAACCACCATCTAGCCCCCCAGGGCCCTTCATGCCTCCATAAATATAGCAAAATCTTACTGTATTCAAGCCTGAAGCTGTAACTCTGCATGCAGTTTGACTAAAAAAAAAAAAAAAGCAGTCTGCTGACATCATCAGAAGTGGTGGCCTGATCCAATCACAATGCTTCCCCATAGGATTGGCTGAGACTGACAAAGAGGCAGATCAGGGGCAGAGCCAGCATGATTCAAACACAGCCCTGGCCAATCAGCATCTCCTTATATAGATGAATTGAATCAATGAATCTCTATGAGGAAAGTTCAGTGTCTGCATGCAGTGGGAGGAGACACGGAATGTTTTGATGCATTTTAGGCATCCATGACCCAGGAAGGATCTCTAACAGCCATCTGAGGAGTGGCCAGTGAAGTTATCACTAAACTGTAATGTAAACACTGCATTTTCTCTGAAAGGACAGTGTTTACAGCAAAAAGCCTGAAGATAATGATTCTACTCACCAGAACAAATTCAATAAGCTGTAGTTGTTCTGGTGACTATAGTGTCCCTTTAACAATTATTTTCATGAATTTTCAGTTTGTTAGGTTTTTTTTTGTTTTTTTTCTTCAAAAAAGTCCCCAGATCTTTTTAAAGAAATCTCTGCAGTATGTGATAAAAACTTTTTTAGAATTCTCAAAGTGATCGCAGAGACCATTCAATGTAGTAAAATATATATTGCTCTGCCTTTTCCCCACGCCACATGAATATATTCTGGTAACGGTAACGAAAACAAGCTTCAAGGGTTTGTTCATCAGGAGCGCTGCTGAGGCATAGCAGAGTGATTTACCGCGCAGCAGCCCTGAGTTCTAATTGGTGCGCTGGTTTTTTAACAAACACCTTTGCTTTGAAGTCCATAGAGATAATTCTGCAAAAAGTGTTTAGAAAAAGTTCCGAAGCCACCTTTTTCCCTCTCTCTGTTTTTAATCTATGAATAGGTAGAATAACAAACCCTGAGACGTCTTGAACATTATCCTACGTAAATGGCGCTCTTTGCTTAAAAACTGTTATTATTTTCTGAGTCATATTTCTTTGGAAAATACATTATGTCCTTCTTTCGTTGGAAAATCGTGATCTTATTTTGTCAGAAATAGCATTTTAGAGTAAAAAACAAAACAAAATTCTCAGCAGGACGTGGAGATGAATATTTATCTATGAACTTGTGCCCATCGCTAAGTCTGGCGCGGATTTAAAGACATATTAAATAGTCAGACGTCACCTTGGTCTCCACTGAATTTTTTTTTAATTGATTGAGAAGATGACAGTGTTCAGAACCTATTGAAATCTCTATGGAAACTTTTCCAATTTCGTACATGACATTAGAAACATAGAAACATAGAATGTGACGGCAGATAAGAACCATTCGGCCCATCTAGTCTGCCCAATTTTCTAAATACTTTCATTAGTCCCTAGTCTTATCTTATAGTTAGGATAGCCTTATGCCTATCCCACGCATGCTTAAACTCCTTTACTGTGTTAACCTCTACCACTTCAGCTGGAAGGCTATTCCATGCATCCACTACCCTCTCAGTAAAGTAATACTTCCTGATATTATTTTTAAACCTTTGTCCCTCTAATTTAAGACTATGTCCTCTTGTTGTGGTAGTTTTTCTTCTTTTAAATATAGTCTCCTCCTTTACTGTGTTGATTCCCTTTATATATTTAAATGTTTCTATCATATCCCCCCTGTCTCGTCTTTCCTCCAAGCTATACATGTTAAGTTCCTTTAACCTTTCCTGGTAAGTTTTATCCCGCAATCCATGAACCAGTTTAGTAGCCCTTCTCTGAACCCTCTCTAAGGTATCAATATCCTACTGAAGATACGGTCTCCAGTACTGCACACAATACTCCAAGATTTCTTTTGTAGATTAATCTTCTATAATTTGAAAAATGTTCCCAGATCAAAGTGGGTCTATCACCAGCTATTTCGTTGCATAAATCAATTTGAAACAACACTACCATGATGACAAACTCTAAGCTTAGGATCAAAGTTTAAGATTAGGTGTGATTTGATTGAGTTTGTGACAGCAGCACGTTGTGTTATATCCGTTACAAACTAAGAGAAACATAGAAACATAGAATGTGGCGGCAGATAAGAACCATTAGGCCCATCTAGTCTGCCCAATTTTCTAAATACTTTCATTAGTCCCTGGCCTTATCTTATAGTTAGGATAGCCTTACGTCTGTCCCACGCATGCTTAAACTTATTTAACACTGCTCAACCCATCCACTTATATTTATATTCTGAAACTCTTTCGCTGTGTTAACCTCTACCACTTCCGCTGGAAGGCTATTCCACGCATCCACAACCCTCTCAGTAAAATAATACTGAGAAATTCAAACAGATTGTCATATTCTAGACCCAAATAGCAAAACTGTGTATATTCTCCAGGACAGATATGAATTATAAATTCAGTTCTGCTATTGTGGTCTACAATTTGAAGCTCACTTTCAATTCGCAAAAAGTCACAATTGCCAAACAATTTTCTTTTTTTTGTTTTAATAACAGATGACAGTTGTCCCCTAAGTATCAATAAATGTGAGGAAAAACCTCAGTGCTAAAACCAAGGCCCAGAATAGTTGCCTGGCCCCTCTCGACTCGATGGTTGATGATCCCCAGCCCACGGAGTCACCGTGGTTCTACTGCTTTATACGGGCTTCAACACACAGCTCCGCAGTCGTCCCAATCTTCAAAGCATGAAGATTCCAGCAGTTAATCTTCAAAAGCTCACTGAAATCACAGACACATCTGAACATGGCAGGAGAGAGCTGGCACTTTATATTCCTGCGTTACCCTCTGAACAGCAGAGCATCATGTCTCCAAGCTATATAGAAATAGACTGAATTGATAAATAAATACAACTCTATTAATATATAATTTAAACCCAGTAGCAGTTAATCAAATCATTAAATTATTCGTGCAGACCTGGTCACTGGATTGTAAGAGTTCCCATTTTCCTCCATTAGCCGGATTCTAGGAATTGTTGTCAATCTGTAAATGGAGTGGAACGATTTCACCATTATTCAGCTAAATTATCCCTTGCCGTTCTAGGAACACAGTGCAACACGTGCAAATAAATAATATTCTTGCATAAGGCAGCTTGATTTTTTTGGAATGACGACCTAAATATCAAAGTATTGCTAGGATAGAATAATTCTCACCATAACAGCGACTAAAGCTCTCCCTTCCGATGGCTTCCCGGGAGTCGTGCTCCCATCTGTGAATGAAGATGATCAATGAATGACATAAACATTCAGTAGCAGGTAATGGCAGTAATGACGGTGGATACATTGTATTCTAGTGAAGAAGCTCGCTTCCGTCCATATCGACAAAGCATTCAGATCGTGCTGCGACAAAAGAATGAAGGAAAAGGGAGATGAATAGTGATCCCCAGGTGGCGGCTGGATGTCAGAAGTGACAGAATTCTGTTCCTTTATTTCTTTTCTTTTCATTTTTTTTATTCCCATTTTTTTTATTTCATTGTTAGTTTTGTCTTTTGTATTTCAGAATAAACTGCTATGGTTTTCCTTTTCATTAAAGGTTGAACATTCTGTAGATATTAAGGCCTTGGTTCTTGCTATCTCTCGGCATTTTGATGCTTATCTTGTTTCATGTTGAATATAAATGTTGTGTAATCACAGTATGTGAAAAGTATCCTTCATTAAAACCATCAGAAACACAGACCAGTGTCCACATCACATGTACCCCTACTACTTACCTTCTCAATCCCAAAAACCTGTCCATCAATTCTATCCCTCGCCTCCACACTACGGCCATACTGCACTCACCTAAAAAACTCTCTGTGTGTAAAAGAACCGTCATGTTACTCCTTGCTGCTATCTATTGTCTTTCTGACCTTTCACCTCTAAGGCTCATACAAAACCACAAACCCACCCAGCACTCCCAGCCAGCGATCTCCAGTTAGGAAAATATATTAATACAATAATAATAATCTAATGTGATCTCCACATTCTAATTGTGGTCGGAAAGGGTTCAGGATATAACTGTCTAATTAACTGAAAGTGCTTACATTTCTCTGACACTAGCAGTCTGTAACCTGATTCCAAGGACCATTGACCTAGATCCAGTGCCATGAACTGGTTGAAGTGTGCGGTGACTCAATGATTTCCATACACTGATCATCCACAACATTAAAACCAGTGACAGGTGCAGTGAATAACATGGATTATATCATTACAATGGCACCTGTCAAGGGGTGGGATATATTAGGCAGCAAATGAACAGTCAGTACTTGAATTTCATGTGTTGGAAGCAGGAAAAATAGTAAGCGAAAAGGTCTGAGTGACTTTGACAAGAGCCAAATAGTGATGGCTAGACGACTGGGTCAGAGCATTTTTAAATAGTCTTGTGAGGTGTTACCGTTATGCAGTGGTTTGTACCTTTCAAAAGTGATGCAAGTAAGGACAACCAATGAACCGTCATTATGGCCATGGGCTTGCTTTCTTTTAGATCAGCTACACTGCGTTATTATTTTTAGAGCCCCCACCTGCCACCAATGAGTGGGGGCTTTGGTACAATATGTCCCCCCCCCTTTCATTTTATTTAATAGCCCCCACCCACTGACCACGGCTGGTGACAGGAAGGGACATTAAGGGTCCTCCTGTTCATTTCAATAGGCCACAGACATGCGGTCCAGATGGGGGCATGAGGGGACAATATGCCCTCCCCTACTTTTGAACTAATTAGTTGTCTTACTATAGGAGCATGGGGGACCTATGACAAGTCCCCCTTTATTGGATTAGCAACGGGGCAGCCATAGCACTGGCTGCTTGTTGTTTACTAGACAAAACCATACCTCCCTATTCCTCCCAGACAAACCCATACCTCCCTCTATACTAATACGGAGATCACATTGACCCCATAGGTTTCATAATTAGGGATAGAAAGGGCTTGAGGGGATTTAGGAAATTGTAATGGAGCTCCCTGTACCGCGGCTGGGTATCTCTGCCAAAGAACAGCTTTCTAGCTGGAAGTGGGAAAAATCCAAAGCGCTTCTGCCCCCACTCACCTGAAACCTCTCCGTCCTGGACCCAAGTAGGGGACTCACTCTATCCACTCCCAGGCACTGGACGGCACACAGTCCTGGGAGCTGTAGTCCTTACAAGGACTTTCCCCGTTGAATCCTCCACACTGGAACAAGCTGGAGTAGTGATTAGCCCTTTCCCCTCCCAGTAACCAGACGATACATAGTTCTGGGAGTACAAGCTGGAATGCTTTAAACTGGCCAGATGGTCTTCTTTTATACATTTTTGTACACAGTCAAACACGCCCATGACACTCCCACACAAAACAGAGTAATCCCTCCCATGTGCCTGGGAGATAATTGAGTCAGGAACTGTACAAACTCAAGTATCTTCAGGCACAGAAAACACACAATTTATAAAACACCCCAAAATACACATAAAATACACGAAAACCCCTGATAGCCCCGATCTACGGGACCAACATATCCCAAAAAATCACCCGGATCGGTTCAGGGGTTCAACTTTTCCACGGAAGTCAATTATTTGACCGACCGCGCACATGGTCCTGTGCCCAAAACAGTTCCTTGAAATCAGTGCTAGCTGTCGATCAACTTTGGTAACATAAAAACTAAAGAATTACCGAACGTAGTCTATATTTGAACCGTGGAGCTTGTTCCCCTCATCCAGATGAACAATTCCACCAATCAGTGCCCTTCTAAGTTGTATAGAACCAAACGCAGGCGATAATGGAAGTCCAGCGGTGTTCGGGAATTTCCGTGTTCGATTTTAGTTCCATGAACTCGACTCGACCAAACACGGCTGCCTGCCGCCTCGTGGTTGTTCATCCGAATTGCAGCCACACAAACGAACAATTAGAACACTGAGGTGAGAACCATTCCAAGGTGTTAATAGGGGTTAACAAGCTCCCGTGTGGTTCCTGGTTCGTGGGGTTGTTCGGTTCCCGAACGATATAGGGAAATCACACGAACCAAGCCATTTAAACAGTCTTTTACAGGTTTCCCTGCAGGGCCCATAGTCTGTGGGCAGGAGGCTGGCAAGCAGGCTCCTCCAGGAGCTTGTGGCAAACTCACGTTGGTAATGGGAGTTTGCCACAGAAACTTCTATTTTTAAACATTAAAAGCAGGGAGCTGCAAGCCGGTAACTATTACAAAGGAACTGTCTCTCGTCCTCCACATTGTCAGCATTTTTTCTTCTCGGTTATTTTTTCCAGTCTTCCAGTTTCTCTTTCTTTGCACTTTCTGTTGAAGCTTTCCCTTCTCTCCTATTAAACTACGTTTCCCCACCGGCAGTCTCTGTGATAATAGCTTCTTCTGTTTCCTTTCTCTCTTTCTCTCCCAGTCCCTTTTGGCTCAATAATTAATTAAATACCTCTCACCATATTTTTCCTGTAGATTTTTCTTTTTCCACTCTCTGACCCCGTCCCCTCTCCCTGTATTTGATGACCTACCCATCCTACCCTCCACTTCTCCTGGCTCTCTTTCTATTCTCACATTTATTCCTGGTATCTTCTTCCCTATTCCCATGGTAGTCTCCTCCTCTCTCCAGCTCTGCCAATTGGTCTCCCGGTTTTGATTTTAGCCTTATATATTTTTCATGCTAATATATATAAAAAATAAACACTACTTTATCTTTGAGTTCTTCTCTAAATAGTTGGCTCAGTCAGAGTCATAATTCACTTTCAATAATTAAGTTCTTGCGCTCAGAAATCTCTGTGCGTATATTGACTGCTGGCTGATGTGAGCCTGATATAACTAGACTGGCGGAAGTAGCAGAGGACTGCCTGTATTCAAATTGGGTCCAGACCATTTAGGTACAACATTTCCTTGGCCACTTTCTGCCTAGCTTCCTTCTCATTATGTCTTCTTCCTGGTCTCTTCCTCAGACTCCTTTTTGCCTGGACCTCACCCTAGGTCCCCTGGAATTTTCTTACTCAGTCCACTTAAGTTTAACCTCTAACTCCGTAGTACCCATATCATTTTTATTTTTTCCTTGTCTTCCTCCACATCCTTCTCCCCATTAAAGGACCACTATAGTGCCAGGAAAACATGCTCGTTTTCCTGGCACTATAGTGCCCTGAGGGTGCCCCCACCCTCAGGGACCCCCTCCCGCCCGGCTCTGGAAAGGAGAAAGGGGTTAAAACTTACCTTTTTCCAGCGCTGGGCGGAGAGCTCTCCTCCTCCGATCCTCCTTCTCTCCTCCCCGTTGGCTGAATGCGCACGCGCGGCAAGAGCTGCGCGCGCATTCAGCCGGTCACATAGAAAAGCATTCATAAATCACAGTGAGAAGCACGCAAGCGTCTCTAGTGGCTGTCAATGAGACAGCCACTAGAGGAAATAGGGGAAGGCTTAACCCATTCACAAACATAGCAGTTTCTCTGAAACTGCTATGTTTATGAAAAAATGGGTTAACCCTAGAAGGACCTGGCACCCAGACCACTTCATTAAGCTGAAGTGGTCTGGGTGCCTAGAGTGGTCCTTTAACTCAGATGTCCCCACCTGGTTATTTTGGATTCTATCATCTTTCCCACTTATTACCTGTCATTCTTTGCAAAAGTTGGAGATCTAATAAATGGACCCCATTTGAATATAAATAATAAAATAATAATAATAATAATACAGGCAGCCCTCAGCTACTTCCTCCAGACTAATGATATCAGGCTCAGCCAGCAGTCAAGATACACACAGTGATTTTTGAGAGCAATACATCTATTATTGAAAGTGATTTATGATTCTGTGTGAGCCTTGCCGACTATTTACAGAAGAACTCAAAGATAAACTACTCTCTATTTTTAGACAGCAATAACTTGAGTAACATTATACAAGAAACAAAAACCCAGCATGTTCTGCTAATTAGCATCAGAAATATATTAGGCTAAAATAAAAATGACAAAACGTGCTTTACACTCTTTGTTCACGAATGTAAATTTTATTTTCAACAACAATCTAATTCCAGTTTCTCCTTTTACCACTTGCTATACTTGTTGAACAATGATGCTGAACGAAAGAAACCTTGTAACGTTAAAGAGAATATTAAAGTATGATAAAAATAGTAATAATAATAATTTCATTCTATGGTTGCAGGCACAGAGAATGTTAATTGGTAGAAATCGTGAAATGCTGCAGTTTGATGTGGTCTGACGGCGCTGGTCCATTCCACTGGTTCTGTTTTATTCATTTTCCCAGAAATCTTCCTTCTCTCCCCTATGGGTTCTAGTCACGGGTCACATGATGTTAACAGAAATTCTGCCAAAGGACAAAGCCTACTCCCCGACCTAATCATGGAAATCGAATGTGGCAGATGGCTCCACCGGTGCGCTCACTTCGGCCTTGTAATAAATCTGAAATATTCCCCCGCAGGATCTCAGAGTGTTACCAATTCATCAAGTTCATTTCAACACATGGCTGTATCTGTAGTTACGAAAACTCATTTCAATTCATGTTTAAAAAGTGTTCTCAGACCATTTGCATTCATCGATGGGACTAGAGACAGACAAAGAAGATAGTTATATAATAGCGTTGTACTGTCCATTTAAAACATGTATTTCATATTGGTAAATAACTCCGGCCTCGTTATATATTCTGCGAGGTATGAAGAGAACTTTATTGGATGCCGTAAATAAGTAACCCTAAGTAAACATCTGCTTATAGACCTGGCGTCTGGTGGGTTGGCATTGGGGATGGGGGGTAGAGGGTCATGTGCAACCAGGGCGGACTGGGTTTAAATAACGCTATCTTGATGTGTTCTAATAATCTTATTTAAATACCACCTGTCTTATTGAAACATTACTTTTCGAGAAATAAATGTCAAATTTTGTATACCTGTTATTTCTGAAGATTGTTTTTTAAACGGCTTATGTTTACATTACGTATGCCACTCATTCACTAACAAAGTTATTTGCTAAGAGGACAATTCAAAGTAAATTTAAAATTTAAGGCCAGGTTAGCTGAAATGAAAGCACAGCTGACATAGGGAATTTTTCCAATTCGGCTAGTTTTTATTCTAAATTTGAAATTCACTTTGAATTCTTAATTTGGTAAATAACCCAGTAAGTGTATTTGATTACACATTATGCAAATTAATTGGCCAATCCCACCTGTGAAAGTTAAAGCTTTATACAAGTGTCTCACATTGCTGACATTGTATTAGTGGATATTACATAACCTCAGTGACCCAATGTTAAAGGAACACTATAGTCACCTAAATTACTTTAGCTAAATAAAGCAGTTTTAGTGTATAGATCATTCCCCTGCAATCTCACTGCTCAATTCACTGTCATTTAGGAGTTAAATCACTTTGTTTCTGTTTATGCAGCCCTAGCCAAACCTCCCCTGGCTATGATTGACAGAGCCTGCATGAAAAAAAAACTGGTTTCACTTTCAAACAGATGTAATTTACCTTAAATAATTGTATCTCAATCTCTAAATTGAACTTTAATCACATACAGGAGGCTCTTGCAGGGTCTAGCAAGCTATTAACATAGCAGGGGATAAGAAAATATTAATTAAACAGAACTTGCAATAAAGAAAGCCTAAATAGGGCTCTCTTTACAGGAAGTGTTTATGGAAGGCTGTGCAAGTCACATGCAGGGAGGTGTGACTAGGGTTCATAAACAAAGGGATTTAACTCCTAAATGGCAGAGGATTGAGCAGTGAGGCTGCAGGGGCATGTTCTATACACCAAAACTGCTTAATTAAGCTAAAGTTGTTCAGGTGACTATAGAGTCCCTTTAAACTGTTATCCAATATTTAACAATATTACTGTAAACTCTCCCCAGTGTCAGAAGAGTTCCTTTTGCAATGAGTAAACCCAGGGTTGCATAGTAATTGCAATATAATATCTGACAACATTATTTATTGTATCTTTTCCAGCAACCAAACATGGCTACATCATCCCTGTGCTCCTACCCTGAGCTTTTAATACATTTATGCTTAGTGAACACAATTGAACTTCGACAAAATAAATCAATTAATAAAAAAGTAGTCAGATCATCAGTCCTTATCAGGAAGCACTGCAGACCTACGACAACCTAGCAGCAATCGTCGCTCTCCACCAATCCAATACTTCTGATAAAAAAAGCTTGAATGTAGGGCCTCTAAATGAAGCATAAGCCGAACTGCGAGTCATCATTATGTGCGTGATGACACCGGACGTTAAAATCTTTGAGAGTCGAAGGCCATGAAAGAGAAAGTGCCTGTCACAGCTGTCAGTAAGTGTTCTAGGAATTTAAGGTCTGTACAAAGATAGCTGCCGGCTGAGTATTCATTGACATGGATGGAATTCTGGTACTAAGTATCTCATAAAGATCGCTTCCGGCTATGTATCCACTGAATGGAAAGGATTCTTGGTATTACAGGGCCTAATAGAAATACCTACCAGTTGTATACTCGGTGACTTCGAAGATTGCTGCATGTTACATGAACTCACAACATTTACATGTCTAGTCCCCTGTCGACGTATCTATTAATGCTTTGATGTTTAGAACATTAATATATATATAGTGGGCTATTGGACTACACTACCCATGATTCCCTACCAGCTGCTGCTTGTCCTAAGTATATGGGAATTGTAGTCCTAAGCCAGGTGGCCAACACTGGCTCACCTTAGTTTACAAGAATCATCACCACCATGGAGTTTATGTGACATAACACTGATTTAGTCTCCCAGAAGATTGCAGAATGTATTCACTAATGCATTAATCGAGGTGAGGTGATGAAGGAACAGAACAGTCAAACCCAAAAAATCCTACAACTCTGCCATTCTACCAAGTCACCTGTTTTGGCCTAACATGTGCACTTACCTTGTCAGTTCTTTACATTTTCAGGTTTGTTTGGATAAATTCCTGATTAAAGGGACACTATAATAACTTTAGCTTAATGAAGCAGTGTTGGTGTATAGATCATGACCCTGCAGTTTCACGGCTCAATTCTTTGCCATTTATGAGTTAAATCACTTTGTTTGTACAACCCTAGCCACACGTCCCTGCATTTAAATGACACAGCCTTCCTAATCACTTCCTGTAAACAGGGCCGTCTTTAATATTGACCGGACCCTGGGTAACCATTTGCTTGGGGCCCCTGTACCCTGCCCCCTGCCAGACATACTAACACACATACATAGAGACATACAGTGACAGACATAGAGACACACACAGACACATACACTGATAGACACACATTGACAGACATACTGACACACACACATACACTGACAGACATACTGACACACACACAGGCACATATACTGACACACATACACAGACATACACTGTCAGACATACTGACACACATACACAAAAACATACAATGACAGACATACTGACATACACAGACACACTGATATACACATACATACTGACACATACACTGACAGACATACTGACACAAGCACAGACACATACACTTACAGACATACTGACATAAACATACACTGACAGACATACTGACACAGACACATACACAGACAGACATACTGACATAAACATACCATGACAGACATACTGACACAAACACAGACACATACACAGACAGACATACTGACATAAATTTACACTTTTAAACCCACCCTCTAGTTTCCTACCTTGGAAGGTGGTTCCCCAGTGTCCAGACTGAAGACTGAGGCTGTTGGGATCTGCCTCTCCCGGCACAGGCTCCCTCTTCCGCCACTCTGTTTAACCAAACCAGGGCCTTGTGGTGTGTGAATTCTCACCCATACAAATAGGGGGTGAGTTTTTTCAGCGCCCAAACGAAAGCCAAACATTCCTTTTTGACTGCCGCATAGCTCACTTCCCGAGGGTAAGAGTTTGCGGCTGATGTAAGCGACCGGGTGTTCTCCTCCGTCCTCTCCCACTTGGCTTAGAACTGCCCCCAGTCCGAACACAGAACTGTCTGTGTGGACGAGAAAACGTTTGTTAGGGACTGGTGCAGCCAACACAGGAGCATGTACAAGGGCGTCTTTCGAGGCTTGAAAAGCAGATTCACAGGCGGGAGACCACAGGACCTGTCTGGGAAGGTTATTTTTCGTGAGATCAGTCAGTGGCTTAGCTAAGGCGCTATAGTCTGGTACAAACCGTCTGTAATACCCTGTTGTCCCCAGGAAGGCCAGGACTTGGGTCTTGGTCCGGGGTGTGGGCCAGTTAGCGACAGCTTCTATCTTGGCAGGCTCTGGCCGCTGTCACCCACACCCGACCCGGTGGCCCAAATACTGGACTTCCGCCATGCCTATATGGCATTTGTCTGGCTTCAGAGTCAGGCCATGCCTCAAGTGCTCTTCCCAGGACTCGCTATAGATCACAATGTCATCCAGGTATGCACAAGCGAAATCCTGGAAGCCATCAAGGAGTCTATCCACCAAGCGTTGGAACGTGGCTGAGGCGTTTTTCATCCCGAATGGCATGACTCTGAATTGGTACAAGCCAAACGAGGCAAAGACAAAGGCCGACTTGGGGATATCCTCCTCGGCCAGGGGAATCTTCCAGTAGCCCTTACAGAGGTCAATGGTGGTCAGATATCGTCCTCTGGCGATGCAATCCAATAACTCATCCACCCGGGGCATAGGGTAGGCGTCTGTCACAGTTTTCTCATTTAGCCGCTGAAAGTCCACACAGAACCGAGTAGTCCCATCCTTCTTTGGTACTAGGACTACTGGCGATGCCCAGGGACTATCGGAAGGCTCAATGACTCTTAACCTCAATATTTCCTGGATCTCTTCCCTCATACCGGCTCTGACGGTGTCAGGTATCCGGTATGGGGGTTGCCTAAGTGGAGCCTGTGCTGGGGTTTCCACCCTATGGGTGGCTAGTGTGGTGAACCCTGGTTCTTGGGAGAATGTGTGGCTTCTACTGGCTATTAAGCAGTGTATCTGTTCCCTCTCAATGGCCATCAGTTGGTCCCCTAGCTTTATCTGACTAAGGGGATTAGTCTGGGATTGTCTACTCAAGAGGTCAGGTAGCGGTAAGCTGTCTGGGTCATCAGCGGTTGGGGCGCAGACAGCAGTTATGTCCTCTGGCCTTTCTTGATAGGCTTTGAGCATATTAATGTGGAATGCTTTGCGTATTCTCTCATCCTTGTCGCTGGTGATTACATAGGTGGTATCGCAGAGTTGGTCTACCACCGTGTAAGGGCCCTGCCAGGCTGCTTGTAACTTGTCACTTTTGATCGGTTTCAGCACTAGGACCTTCTGTCCCACCTAAAACATCTGCTGGCGAGCACCCCGATCGTACCATACATTCTGCCACTCCTGGGCCACTTGGAGGTTTGCTTTAACCATCCATGCTAGCTGTTCCATGTGGTCCCGGAGTTGCACCATATACGATGGAGGGCTCCCTCTTGTTCAGTGGCTCCCTCCCAGTGCTCCCTAATGAGGTCCAGGGGGCCTCGCACCTTTCACCCATATATTAGCTCAAAAGGAGAGAACCCCGTG